TGGTGGTATTTTTTTTCTGTTCTTTCTTTCCTCTCCTGCCCTCATGGCTCAGTTTCCTAAAAGTGTTAAGTATATTCACTGGGCTGCAGATCTTTGTGACAAGAGTCTATCTACAGATGGGCCGGCCACTGGCACTCCAATAAAGGCTCCAAATTCGACTTCTCAAAATGTGGCTATGGGCTGGGAATGTGGCCTAGTGGTAGAGTGCTTGCCTAGCATGCATGAAGCCCTGGGTTCCATGCCTCAGTACCACATACACAGAAAAAGCCAAAAGTGGCTCTGTGGTTCAAGTCGGTAGTGCTAGCATTGAGCAAAAGAAACTCAGGGACACTGCCTACAACCTGAGTTCAAGCCTAGGACTGGCAAAAAATGTGGCTTCTCTGTTTTCTCATCGTACACTAACAGTGGGATTATTTTCTTCATAGTCACTCAGCTACCCACATTGAAAGGCTAGCCACTACCTGAAAGTGCTAAGATGACAGGGGTGAGGAAACCTTGGAAGGTCTTGAGTAGGAGCATCAAAGGCTCCAAATCAGTAATAAGCTTGTTACTTCCAATGATAGTTCTCTGAGCAGAAGCAGTCCTAGGGGGCCCTATACTCCCCTGGCCACAACCACAAAATGGTTGGGAGGTGCTTAGGTGATGAAATTGTTGCAAAAATTTTGATAAACTACTAAATGATCGTTGTATGCCATTTTCTGATTTTTTTAGTCTTTGTGATTTAGATATCAAATGGAATTTCTATTTATCATCTTTCTTACAAAATGTACATGTATAAAAGCAATGATTCTCACCGAGGCTCTGATGAGAAACTGATATTCAGTAAAATTAAATATTTAAATAAAATCAAATGAGATCATTGTCAAATGCTTAGAGGAGGAGAGCTGTCTGAGGCTTATGCCAATAATCTTAGTTTCTCAGCAGGCTTGAGATCTGAGGATTTGATTCAAAACCAGCCCTGGCAGAAAAATCCCAGACTCTTATCTCCAATTAATCAGCAAAAAGCCAGGGAAGGTGTGATTCATGTGGGAGAATATCAACTTTGAGGGAGAAAAAAAAAGCAAAGAGAGTTCTCAAGGCCCTAAGCTCAAGCCTTAGTACTGCCACACACAATAAAAGATCAGAGGTAGAAATAGGAAGATCATTTGAATGTCTGTATCTGCCACTGGGTAAAACCTATTTGTTCCATATTTATGGAGGTAAATTACATGAAGGGGAAAGAAATGAACATATTTTAAAAAGTATTTGAGTCCAAAAACAGATTATAAAATTCTATGGATTATTGTTGTGACAATTTTGCTAGTGTCATTATGAAGGGACAGCTGGGCTAAAAATTCAAGATAGATCAGGACCACAGAAATATACATATGTAATCAGGCCTCTTATTTAGGCTTGAAAACAAAAGTAGCATACAAAAACATGCTTGATGGTTCTAAGCATAATATCCAGGTCTAATTAAGAAAAAAAGAAATAGATTGACTCTTTATTAGTAAGTATTCATGGAAATATGAGTTCATTATCACACAGGTCCTAACTGCTCAGAGAGAGGTATTCAGGGATGCATCAATCTAAACTTCAGTGTTTCATTCACAGCCCATGTCCTAAACTTATTATTCAAATCTTATTCAAATCTCTGTCAACTATTTTCAGTATACTCAATAATCATTTTCAGCAAATGGTTCCATTCTTTAAAATATAAACTGAAAAAGGAAGAAGTTCAAGTTAATGAAGCATTTGGGATTGTGTATTTACTTCATTCTTTTGGACTTTATTCAGTGATTTGTCGTGCCACATTAACTTTTACAGCAAATTCTTTTTGTAGAATATTTAATATGTTCAAAGATATTTGAAACCACAAATATGCCATTCAAAAGATGTAAACCACTACTTTTTTCTATTTACTTGCTTATTTATTTACTATTTGCTGTGCTGTGCTGGAGATGGAAACCAAAGACTATATCACTAGGCCTAAGTAACTGCTTTATCATTCAGCTATACCCACAGCCCAGTTGTCCTGCTTCCATTCTCTTTCTTTGGGTTTTAAAAACAGGGTCTCACTTATATAACCAAGATTAACCTGGGGCTTGCAATCTTCCTATCTCACTCTCCGAAGTGCTGGGATTACAAGCCTGCATCACCTTGCTTAGCATTCCCTGCCCTACCTGTATTTTTAATCAGCTGGTACCAAATATTATGGTTTTCAAACATACTCCAATGACTATATTAGTATCAAAGACTTTTTCCTGGTAATGAGGATTGAGTCCAGGGCTCCACTATGCTAGGAAAGTGCTCTACCACTTGAGCCATATCTTCTACCTGAAGGATACTGTTTAAGACAGTCTACCTGATTTTGTGTATTCTGTGACAGTAGATTATAGTATATTCTATAGTGACATGGTAAAATCTTGTTATTCTCTAATGCTGAACATGCAGTTAGCAAGTGCTTAAAATGAAGGTTTAAACTCCTCCAAGATAACTCAGGAATTATAGACCTCTAAGCTTAAATTCCCTCACATCAATAGTTTCTTAATGGAGTGAAAATTTTTCACCTTCATTGTTATCTATACATTCATACATTGCTATCTATCTATTCAAAGGCTTGAAATTCTGTAATTTATGGCACAACTGAATAGTAACTGAATTGTCACTGAGTTACCAAAATGCTCCATCAATAGAAATGTCCCTCCACAATGCCATGTATAAGAATGTTCATGGCAGCATGATCTACAATAGCTCTAAACCAGAAACTACCCTATGATCTGTCGAGAGTTTATAATTTATGAATTCATAAAATATATAATGTAATTACAGAATGGAATAAATGAATGCTTGATAACTACATATAACAATATGAAAGAATCCCACAAGCAGAGGTTGAATCAAAGAAACCAAACACAAACAAATGTGTACTTTATGACCTTATACATACCAAATATACAGATGAACAGATTGAATCCATGGTTTTGTAGTCAATCTAGGACTTCCCATGGGAGGAATTAGCAACTAGATGACAGCATGATGAGATCCCACCTATTAGTAAAGTTCTGTCTCCTGATCCAGGACTGGGTCGAAAGAGGTGCTCCGACTAGGAAAATTCTTTGAACCACGGTCAATATGCATACGTTTCTGTAAGCATTCTTTCTACATTGCAATAGAAGTTAAAGAACATTCCAGGAAATCCATGAAAATTGACAATCAACATAACATAATTCTCAAAGTCATTGCTAGAATTTGAGTCATCAATATGAATATCATTCTCTAAACAAATTATTAAATGTACTATATCTGGAACAATTCCTTCAGACCTAGCTACTCAAAATATCAAAATAAGTTAGTAATTTCTCTTTGAACTCGAATCTGCTTTTGTCTAATATGTGATATCACCACAGTTTAATCTCTCATCTTCTACTTTATTTTTCTTTTTCTCTTTTTGCCAGAAAATGGGACTTGAACTCAGGATCTCAAACTCTTACTCAGCTTCTTTACTCATGGCTGACACTCTACAACTTGAGCCCTGCTTTTTATAGGTGAGGTGGGGATGAATTCTCCAAATTTTTCTGCCTGGACTGGGTTTGAACTGTAACCCTACAAGTCTCAGCCTTCTGAGTAGCTAGGATTACAGGGCATGAGCCATTGGTGCCTGGTTTATTTCCTTTAAATACTATTTACTATGATCTTTTTACCAGTCTCTTAAGAGTCTGTTCTACCTGATTACGACACATTAACCAAAAGTGACTTAATATCCAAATCACATCTTTCACTGCTTTGCTTCAATGTCAGCCAGGCATTATTGGCACACCTCTGTGATCTTAGCTACACAGGAGGATGAGAAATGAGGGTTGCAGTTGGAAGCTAGCACTCTAGGCAGGAAGTCCTGAGACTCCAATTAACCACCAAAAAGACAGAAATGGAGCCGTGGCTGGAGTGATAGAGTACCAGTCTTGAGCAAAAAAGCTAAGAGACAGTGACCAGGGCTTAAGTTTGAGTCCCAGGACTAATGCACTGGTGCACATGCATCACGCACACACTCAGACAGTCACTACTAAAATGTATTGTGACCTCTCAGGACCCTGTCTCCCTCATCTACCTCACATTGTCCTGGTCTTTCCCTCCGTTCACTGGTCTTCTTGTTGATCTACCTCAAGACCTTTGCTGTACTGTTTCCCCTGCCTAGAACAATCAACATTTCACTAATTCTGATGGCTAGGCGATTTATTTTCCATCTTACCCAAAGACTTAGTTAAAAAGCCACATCTAAAGTCCATCCCTTATTGTGTTCCTTATCACTTCTTAGCTATTTTCTCTCTTGAGGTGATTTATTATCCTTTACATAGTTGTTTACTTATTGTTTATTGTTGTTGTTGTTTTGTATTAGACTGCATAGTCTGAGAGCAGCTTGCTTGAGTATCCCGGACAAAATTGCATCTCCAGCGCCTATCAAGTGCCTGTCCTACTTGTAGTCCTTTATAAACATGGGGAAAAAAAAAAACCAAAATAACAACAAAACAAACACTTGTGGAATGAATGAATCCACTGTCTCCAAGCTATCACCAGACTGTTTATTCAGCCAGAACGAATCTGTCAAGCAAGGAAACCAGATGCCTTCCAAGCTCTGTGCGCAGGCAAAGTGCTGGCAATCCATTTTTGGTGTCCTAGCTGTCACAACCACCTCCACACTCGGCCCGAAGGGATGCACCTCCCGCCTCCAGCGGTGGAAGGGTGCCAAGTCTCTTGGCCCCACCCGCCATCCAGGCGCTTCCCATCAGTGGGTGCAATGCGCCAATTCCGGGAGAGCGGGGCGCCACAGCCAGCTGCTATTGGTTCACATTGACGTCAGTCTGCCGTGAGCAACTGAAAGTATAGACAGACCCAAATGGCAAAACGAGAGGCTCGCTCCCTTCGGCATCTGTGATTGGTTTCAGTGGAAGAAGGGCGCGTCACCTTGTCGTGCACTGATTGGGCTGAGCTGCTGTCAATCAACAGGAACTGATTTTCCCCTCTCCATCTGGCCGACTAGGGTTGAGAAATTCTCGACAATCTTCCAGAGACGAGGTTGTGGCTGCTGATTGCTTTCTTCAGAGATCGAAGTCAAGGCAATCTCATTTACCAACCGAGAGCCCTTCCTCTCTTTCTGTTAGCTAATTAAAACATTTCCAGAAACAGCCATCACAAGGTAAGAGCCTAGACTACGATTCATTTTATCTTGGCCTTTCTAATGATATTTATTGGAGGGAATGGAGAATCAAGGGAGGAGGATTCCGAGAAAGCGGAGAGAGAAATAAATTTCTGCAGCTTCCTCTTTAGAAGCCACTGCACACCCCAGCTCTCACCCCAGCTCTCTGCAAAACCTGTGCAGCGCTCTCTTCCCGTTTGGAGATTCAGAGCAGCTTCTCGAGGCCCACCCGGGCTGCTTCTACCATGGCATAGTTTGGCCTTGAACTTGACCCCGAGCAGCAAGTCTGGCTGGCGAAGCACAGGCAGGTGGGGTGGCTGGGGAGGTCGGAGGCAGGGACGAGGAAGCCAGGAGGGTGGGCGCCCTAGTTTCCTCCTAGAGAGGCCCCAAGGGCGCCCTCTCCAAATCCGGGGAGACTAGGATGCTGTAGGCATCCATGCCTCCTCGCCGCAGGGGTGGCGGTAGACGTGGCGAGTATCGGTGCACCTGGGAATAGGGAGTAGGGAGGCTGGGGGCAGGGACCCGGCGGCGGGGGGGGGGGGGGGGACCCAACGACCTGCGGGGCTGCCAGCATGCCACACGAAGGTGTTGTCCTGCCTTGTGGTCTTGTGGTTACTGAACTGAGCACAGGCATCCGGAATGGCGAGCTTTCTAGGAGAGATCAGTGGACCGAGGATGCAGACCGGCGCAGTTAGCTGTGGGTCACAGGCCTTGGGTTTTGCTTTGTAAGCCCAGCACTGGGTCTGAAGTCCTTTCTTCGCAGCTGCTGTTGCGATGAGAGAATTCACAGATGGCATAATTGAGATTCCCAAGTGGAAACAGCCAGGGAATTGGTGTGGGGGGGTCACTAAGAGCTCTCTAGCCATTCTGAGCTTCTAACTGGACATGATCAGCTAGGGTCTGGTGGGTTCTTTACAATCTTCCCCCGGGGCAGGCAGAAGAAAGGAGGTTTTTATGGCTTTTCAATGGGCAGTCCAAGTGGCAAATCATAAAGATATTGAAAAATAGCAACGAGACAAGTGGCAGGATGCCCACAATCCTACCTACTCAGGAGGCTGGGATGTGAATGAAGTTCGTGATTCGAAGCCAGCCCAGCCAGAAAAGGCCTGAAGGGTAAAAAGCTGGAAGTGGAGGTGTGGCTCAAGTGGTAGAGCACCAGCTTTGAGTGAAAAAAGCTAAGGCATAGGGCCGAGGCCCTGAGTTCAAGTCCCAGCACACGCACGCGCGTACACACACACACACACACACACACACACACACACCATAGCAAAGGCTCGAAGTGTTCTGACTACACTCTCATAGTAGGAAGAAGAGCAAGGCGATATCTATTGAAGACTGGAGACATTGGAAACAAATGCTCCACTGTGTCATAAATGTAAGAAAATGTCTCAGTTCCGATCTAAGGATTGTGAGATCTTGCAAATATTTTCATGGAATCTTAGATCACCCAGGCACCTCCTTTCCCCAGAATACAAGGTAAAAGGAAAGGAGATGTAGATGATGTTGCCTAGAATATAAAAGAAAATTCTTACCCAGGCACCTGTGGTTCAAGCCTGTAATCCTAGCTACCTAGGAGGCTGAGATCTGAGGCTCACAGTTCAAAGCCAGCCAGGCAGGAAAGTCTTTGAGACTCTTATCTCCAATTAATCACCGAAACAGCCAGAAATGGAGCTGTAGCTCTAGTGGTAGCCTTGAATGAAAATCTCAAGGACAGCACTGAGTCCCTGAGTTCAAGCCCCAGGACCAGCCAAAAGTAAAAATTTAAAAAAAAAATAAAAAGAAAATCCTTGTTGAGATAGAATCTAGTTAATGGAGTCTAGATTCAGTTTCCTGAGTTGGAATTATTGATGTGTGGCCTTTTCTGAATTCATAGATCAAATATATGATTATATCAAGTTTGTTATTTTCTTTTTTTTCCTTAAGTAGATTTATACATTTCTTTCTTTTTGCTGGGAACTGATAAGGATTAGGGTCCAAATTTGCTGAAATACATTTCAAAAGTTTGTATACTATTTTAGGCTTTTTTTTTCTTAAGGTTGACAAAGAAATGTTTGGTTAAAGCATATTACATATCTGGTTAAGGTATGTTGTTTCATTTAAGCAAATTGTAAGTAACCTTGTGTTTCTATTATAAAAAGACCTCTTAATACTATAAAAAATAGTGCCACTTAATACTATAAAAAATAGTCATTTAAAAATATATTACAAGGAGAATATGAACAGTATCATTAATGCTAATCTTTATAATTCCTGCTTAATTTTGCTGTGTGCTTACTGTAATAATAGCAAAGTGCCCTCTGGCTTTTTTTTTTTCAAAATTCAAAAGCAGTTTTAACTCAAAATTCCCAGTGCTAAATCCTGCCAGGGACTATTTTCTCATATTCACACATTGAGGTAATATACAACTGCAGTGCAAGGAAATAATAAAATTGACATAGCAATTTTGTATCTATATTTGTAGCTGTTTTCTTTTTTTTTAACCACCATTCCCTTGTATTTTTGAATTAAGTGTGTACTTCAAAAGTTTATCCTAAGTTCTGGTTACAAGTGATTTATGCCAATACTCGTAGCTTCTTGGGAATCCTAGCCTCTTGAAGGCTTGAGAACAGGAGGATCTTAGTTTTAGGTCAGCCCATGCATAAACTCAAGTCTTCATCTCAGTCAATACCTGGATGAGGTAGTATAAGCTTGTCATCCTAGCTACATGGGACGGATAACTGGTAGATGACAGTTCAGGGTGGCCAAGGAATTCCCATGAGACCCTCTTTAAAAACTAAGAAAACAGGGGCTAGGAAGGTGGCTCAGTGGTAGAGCGCTTGCCTTGCATGCATGAGGCCCTGGGTTCGATTCCTCAGCACCCCATAAGCAAAAAAGAAAAAAGCCGGAAGTGGCGCTGTGGCTCAAGTGGTAGAGCACTAGCCTTGAGCTGAAGAGCTGAGGGACAGTGCCCAGGCCCAGAGTTCAGGCCCCATGACTGGACCCCAAAAAAAAAATAAACTAAGAAAACAAGCAGGGCGCCGGTGGCTCAGGCCTGTAAACTCAGGCCTGTAATCCTAGCTATACCAGAGGCTGAAATCTGAGGGTCAGGGTTCAAAGCCAGCCCAGACAGGAAACTCCATGAGACTCTTATCTCCAATAAACCACTCAGAAAAACAGAAATGGCACTGTGGCTCAAGTGGTAGAGCGCTAACCTTGAGTTTAAGAGCTGAGGGACAGCACTCAGGCCCAGAGTTCAAGCCCCACAACTGACAAAAAACAAAACAAACAAAAAACAAACAAACCAAAAGGTATATGGGCGTGGCTCAAGTGGTAAATAGCCCTTCTAGCAAGTACAAACCCTGGGTTCAACTACTTGTACTAAGAGATTGTATATTTTTCCACTTTTGTTTATGACTATCAATGTACTTTAGATTTATCATATGAATCAGTCTATGTGAGATGAGTAGAATTCTACTCTAGTTATTTTTCTTTATTGTCTTAAAAGTTTATTTTGAGCCAGCTGCTGATGGCTCAGGTCTATAATCCTAGCTACTCAGTAGCCTGAGGTCTGAGGATTGCAGTTTGAAGCCACATGGCAGTAAAATGTGTGAGAATCTTATCTGCAGTTAACCACTACCTCACCCCCCCCCCCCCCACCACCCAAAAAAGAAAAATAAAGGAGCCAAAAGTAGAGCTGTGGCTCAAGTGGTCAACTGCCAGCCTTGAGCTGAAGAGCTAAGGGACAGCAGCCAGGCCTGAATTCAAGCCCCAGTCCTAGCACGCATGCGCGCCGCGCGCGCGCGCGCGCGCGCGCACACACACACACACACACACACACACACACACACACACACGTTTATTTTTTACTAGTAACATATAAGTATGCTTTGTGTTTATACTTTCCACTCATTTAACCTTTTGTTTTCTTTTTTCTTTTTCTTTTCTTTTTTTTTTGCATTATTTGGAGTTTGAACTCAGGGCTTTATGCTTGCTAGGCAAGCATTCTACTGTTTGTTCCATGCCCTCAGCCCTTTTTGATTTTGTTATTTTTGAAATAGGGTCTCACATTTATACCTGAGCTAGCCTGAATCACAGTCCTCCTGATTAAGATTCCCAAATAGCTGGGATGACAAGTGTGAATCACCACACCCAGCTTTTATTGGTTGAGACAGACTCTCTGGCACTTTTTGCCTCAGTTGCCTTCCCTGTCTGTGCCTCCTAAGTAGCTAGGATTATAGGCATGCGCTACCATGCTTGGCTCATACACTTAGCTTTTACTGACATATTTTTGTGTTTTTGAAAGACTGAAGGATGACTTGACTTCCCAACTTTGAATATGTTTTACAACAGTTTATAAAAATAAACGAGCCTTAATTTCTTGCTGAAAGAGTGAAGTAATTCTCCCCTGTCTACTCGAAAGGCTTGTGGAGTAACTGTGCTGCCTAGTTGGCAGAATGATAAACTAGTCCCAACTCATATTTGCTGAGCTGCACTAAAAGAGAATTCTGAAGTGTCTGCCAATTTTTTCTCTACCTATTGATTTACAGAGATCAATATATTTGCTGAACTGACAATAAAAGAGAATTCTGAGGTGTTTGCCAATTTGTTCTCCATCTATTTCTGTTACAGAGATTATTAATAGCTTTTATCATGTTTTAAAGGTTTGTGTTGGTTTCACATCTCAAAATCTATTGCCATTGGAAATGATCTGTCCAACTTGGGGGGGGGGTGAAAAGGGGAGGGGAAGTAGGAGAAAAATGAGGGAAGGGGTAACATGTTTGACAAGAAATGCACTCATTACCTTAGTTATGTAACTGTAACCCCTCTATACATCACCTTGACAAAAAAGCAATCTATTGCCTTAGCCTGCTATTCAGTGCATAGTCTTTACCATGTTGTGATGTCTCTTGCTATTATAAGCTATGGTGGGAATTCTTGATGTACAGGGAAATTGTTTTTGTTTTTGTTGTCTGTTTTTTGTTTCTGGTTGGTTTTAATTCTATTGTTATATTTATTCTTTG